AACCTGGGGAGGGCTAGCCTCCCACTAGTTCGAATTAAGGGTCTACACACCCCTTAATTCGAACTAGTAAGTTCGAACTAGGCTTAATCCTCGTAAAATGAGGATTACCTAGTTCGAACTAAGCGCTCCGTTAGTTCGAATTAAGTTCGAACTAACGGATCGCTAGTGTAGCGCCTATGAAAGTTAATTCGAACTAACATCCGTTAATTCGAACTAACTTTGTAGTGTAGACATACCCTATCTGTCTGTCTATCCCCACACATCTATCTATCTATCTATCTATCTGTACACACACCATCTATCTATCTATCTATCTATCTATCTATCTATCTATCTGTACACACACCATCTATCTATCTATCTATCTATCTATCTATCTATCTATCTATCTATCTATCTATCTATCTGTACACACACCATCTATCTATCTATCTATCTATCTATCTATCTATCTATCTATACACACACCATCTATCTATCTGTCTGTTTATCCCCACACATCTATCTATCTAATCTATCTAATCCATCTATCTATCTATGTATGGCTGGTTTGCCTTGTTCCCACAGTTCCCTGGAACATGCCCTGCTGAAGCCAGCAGCGTGAGGGTGGAGGGAGGTGTCTGGCTGCTGCTGTGTGGGGCAAGTCCCCGCACACAGTAATTGCTTTGACTCACAGGGACAGCATATAAGGGAGCCCATCCCGGAGGAGCCTGAGACAAAACCAGCGGACACTCTTCCTCGCCTGAACCCCCCCACAGGAACAAGAGGTGAAGCAGGGTCAGTGCAGCCGCTGGCGTCAGTTTGGGGGAGTCATGGCGGCTGGGTGAAAAGGAGATTTTTGTGATTTGGGGAGGGATGTAGGGAAGTGCCCTGGTGCACGGCGCTGTTACAGGGGTGATTATGGGCTGCCCTGGCATCACTCTGTTATTGGGGGAGTTGTGGGACTGCCAGGAGGCATCTCTCTGTTTTCAGGGGGCAATTGGGTGACAGGAGGGCATTCCTCTGTCGCCGGGGGGATTATGGGGTGGCATGGAGCTTTCAATGAAGGTGGAGGCTTTGCCGGTTTGGCTGTTCAGCTGGTACTTGGGAGACCCAACTGGGCCCAACTGCACAGCTGCTTCGTGCCTCAGTTTCCCCATCTGTGCAATGGGGACCATAGCCCTGCCCTGCTTCAACATGGAGTTGTGGGGACAAATACGATACAAAAGATTGGGAAGTGCTGAGATACTACCATCATGGGGGCTGCTTATGGGTGCTCACCCTCCTCTGTTTTCAGGGCAACATATGAGAAGGGGAACTAGGGAGAGAGGGGGTGGACCCTGTCGAGGTCATTGAGAACTTTGTCCTCTGGGTTGAGATTTAGAGCAGATCTTTCCATGGAATAGAGCCAGGGATGGGATGGAAGTGGACGATGGAGCTGAGCTGGGGGCGACCAGCCCCATTTCCATTTCTAAAATGGTTAGGGGTTTGGAACGGGTCCCATATGAAGAGAGGTTAAAGCGACTGGGACTTTTCAGTTTAGAAAAGAAGAGACTGATGGGGGGATATGATTGAGGTATATAATGAGTGGTGTGGAGAGGGCAGATAAAGAAAAGTTATTTATTAGTTCCCATAATAGAAGAACTAGAGGACACCAAATAAAATTAATTGGTAGCAGGTTTAAAACTAATAAAAGAAAGTTCTTCTTCACACAGCGTGTAGTCAACCTGTGGAACTCCTTGCCAGAGGAGGCTGTGAAGGCTAGGACTATAAGAGAGTTTAAAGAGAAGCTAGATAATTTCATGGAGGTTAGGTCCATAAAAGGCTATTAGCCAGGGGATAGAAATGGTGTCCCTGGCCTCTGTTTGTCAGAGGCTGGAGAAGGATGGCAGGAGAAAAATCACTTGATCATTGTCTTCGGTCCACCCTCTTTGGGGCACCTGGTGTTGGCCACTGTCGGCAGACAGGATACTGGGCTAGATGGACCTTTGGTCTGACCCAGTACGCCCGTTCTTATGTTCTTATGTTCCATCACATGATTCCAGTGTGTTTATCCATGTAGGGCTCTGCTGTCACCCTCTGGGTACAGGCAGGGTGGCCACGAGGCAGAAAAACGACATGCTCATGCCGGCCTTTCCTGACTGCTAGGTGAGCCCCTTACCTGCGAGTCACCCGTCCTCCTCAAGACGCCCACGGCCAACGATTCCCTGTCGCTCTCACCCTGCAGTAAACCAGCGACGACGCCGACTGTTCCCATCGCCACGGCCACCATGCAGCTGCTGGTCCTCGCCGCACTGGTCACTGGGGCAGGGGCAGGTAGG